TTTTAATTTATTTTTTTAAAATAAATTACACGGTCTGTTATGAACAATTTAAACGAACACTAAACGAGCATGTTCGTGAAAATTATTAAATGAACACTAAACGAGCATGTTCATGATCATTATTAAACGAACACTAACCTAACGAACATGTTTAATTACGAACTCTTAGCAAACAAGCATATATACAAATTAAATGTTCGAACTGTTTTTGTTTATTAAACGAGCTCTAAAATTTATTCATTTATCCGTTTGGAAAGCAGGAAAATTTGACTTCTGGAAAATGAGTCATTTTCCAGAAAACATTTTCCTTTCTAGTGTTTGGCTACACAATGGAAAACTGTCTTTGTGCGTTTGGTTCCTTTCCCAAAAAATGAGTAGGAAAATGAAAAGAATTGAATACTTCAAAATTTTAATTGTTGGATACTTTTGATAAAATCCTTTTTGTGAATAGCATTCTTTTATATATATATATATATATATATATATATATATATATATATATATATATATATATATATATATATATAATTAACATTTTTAAAAATGTAACTTTTTTTAAAAAAATTTAAATACGAAAAAATTAATATTGTTTGTAGGCTTTAATTATTATTTTTTAATTTTGAATTCAAAAAAAATAAAAAAAAAAAAAAAAACAAAGAAGACCGAGGATCGGCCCGCGGGGCCCGCCAACCCACATGGAGCGGGCTTTGGTTGCATGAACCCTAGCTTGCGGGTTTGGTGGGTCGACTCGCAAAAGCCCGTAAAAAATTAGGCCTAAAAAATTTTGCATGTGCATCCCTTGGAAAATGACTTCCACATTAAAAAAAAAAAAAAAAAGAACCATTTTCCCCCAAAACATACATATTTTCCTTTGATTAATGCATCATTTTCTATTGACCTGATTTTTCCCCCTCTTGCCAAACACTGAAAACTCGAAAAACATTTTCCGTAAGTCATTTTTCTGATTTCCAAACGCACCATATTTGTTTACCTTAATTAACAAACAATTACGAATGCTTATCAAAAATGAACACGAGTATTTCATCGAAAGATTTATTCGCTAAAACCCTACTGAAAGGATAAAAGAAGGCAATCCTTTCAAAAAAAAAAAAAAAAGAAAGAAAAGAAGGTAATGTTGAGGGAAAGTAATTAAGAGAATGGCTAAGGCTCGGAATTGGGAGGCCATAGTACTATGCGTCCATGTAAAAAGGCAATTGGCTAATGAGATTATTGTACTGCTCCCACTTCTCATAAATTTATTACTCCGTAAAATGTTTGGCATGTATTTCAATGTAGATTAATTACTACGGCAACCAACGTAACTCTAATTCATCGTACACGGTAAACATGGGACGACTCTAATTCATCATACACGTTAAACATGGGACGAAGCTAGAAAAGTCTTATTGAAATGGTCAAAATTATGGATAAAGATTAGAATGGACAAATTATAAGGTTTTTTTTTTGAAAGAAGACAAATTATAAGGTTAAAATACAAAATACATTATAAATTAAAATATATTTAATTATGAGAAAATATGAAACATAATTAATTAGATAAAATAATTTACACAACAATATATTCATAAATACTTTTAAATTTTAATTTCTTTTAGTTAGATCGAATTTTATAAATTAATTCAAATACAATAAAGTATATTATAAATTTGTATACTACATTAATTAAATGATTTATAAAAATTAGACTAAAAAAGCATTTAATTTGTCAATTAAATGATTCATAAAAAGTAGACTAAAAATATTTAATTTATCTTGTGAAGAAATGAAAGAGAGAAGATAATTAAAAGTGTTGCTAATGAGATTTGAACCCATGACATAAGCTTTTTATAACATAAAATTTAGAATTCAACCAACTAAGTTCCTCAAATAATTCATATTTTTAACATAAATATAGATTTTATATAATATTTCATGTTATATATGTATATATATATATATATATACATACATATATATAAATGGGTGGGGTGGAGGAGTGGGGGCAACTGCCCCCAGATTGGGTCCGCCCTTGATCATACATGATTAGAATAAATATTATTATCAATAATTTCAAATATATATATATATATATATATATATATATATATATATATATATATATATATATATATATATAGGATCGTTTGTGTGTGTGTGCGTGCGTGTGTGTGTAATCAACCATAATTATAGATGATTAACTGCTATTCATTTTTTTCAAAAGGTTGAATCTCAACCCTAAATTTCTCAACGACGAAACCCAATTGAGTTAAGTTTTTCATTTTTCAAAATTATTTATTTATTAAACTAGTAAATAAATTTACATCTTAAAAGTATAAATAAAAAATAAATATACACAATAAATCACTAATTAATTAATTAATCAAATAAAACTATACCATTTGCCTTAAATTTGTATATTTTTGGAAGTTAAGTTGAATAATTGATGCCTTCAATTATTGATATATTGACAAAGAAAATAAGCTAATAAATGAAATTAGGTAATTTTTATTTCACATTATAGATTTTCATTTGAATTTTACTAGTTTATTAAAAATGACTCTCTATTTATAACTTAAACCGATTTGATTAAGTGATTCTTTCAAAAAAAAAAAAAAATTAAGTGATTATTTAGTTTACATAAAATTTAATATTATTGTAACTGCTAAATTATGTGCAAAATGATTGTAATTTTAATATATCAACTAGTAATTTAGCTAAAGTGTTTTTCAATTGTAAATTTGGAGGTATAAGTACATCCAAATTTAAGAAACACATATTTTACCTTGTTTCAATTCGTAGAAAAAACATATTTTACCTTGTTTCAATTCGTAGAAGAATTTATTTCATACAAAATAAATTTTGCAAAATTTGAGGAAATTGAATTACTTGGTATTCTAAAATATTTTATTTTTCATGCTTCTTTGTATTAAAAAAATTGCAATAAGAATTCTTATATTACCCTCACCATAGGGCCATTTCAGTTTTAAGTCTTACAAATCTTTCTTACTCTCACTTTTAAATAACAATTGTACTTGCGTGTGATGATACCTCTATTATCATTGTAAATGCGTAGTCACAGGATTTAATCTCGGTGATTGGATATTAATTCTTTGGGCTAAAAACAATTAAAAAAGTATAGAACATATATTACTTTATTACGAATCATGCGTGTTTTTTAAAAAAATAATTTTACTTTTTTATAAAAGTTGCACAGTACGTAGCTTAAATGGAAGCATTAGTACTTTAATTAAACTAAATATGGAGTATATAGTTAGAGTAAAATTGTGTTTCAAATGAAGTTAATTTTTATTCGATGCTCTTTGGGGGAAAGAAGTACGTTGGAGGAAATATTCTGGCACTTGTAAAGAGAAAATATTATTTTAAATTTAGAGAAAATATTTTGGGTTGTAAATTTAAAATAATATTTTAGCTTTACAATTCCAAAAATATTTTCATTAAATTTGACATATATTATTCTAAATTTACAACCCCTAAAATATTTCTTTTAAATTTAAAATAATATTTTAACTTCACAAGTTTAAAAATATTTCTATTGAATTTAAAATAATATTTTTACCTCACAATTTCTAAAATACATGTTTGACATCCTTCAATACATATTTACTATATAAACCTCATTTGTGAAAGCTTGGCAGGTTCAAAGGAAACCAAACATTGAATGTTCAAGTTTAATTAGGTCCTTGCAATTTGACTAACGAATCATCTTTAAGAGAATGGATAACTCATTTGTGAAAGCTTGGCACGAGAAGAGAATTAGTCACAAAAATGATAGATTTTTATAGTATGGTTTGGAAAACTTTCTTACTCCGATCTATTTTTCTCCTTATAATCTAGGAAGGATTTCATTATGTGTTGTGTATGTACAAAATACAAGTGAAATGAAGTCTTTTGCGTGCACCGCTACTTGCTTCTTCAAGTGACTATCCATGAAACAAGCCACGAACTATGTGTTGACTTTGTTTTTCACTACCTGATAAAACTCAGACCAAGGGTCAGCCACCAAGTCGCCTTGTTAGGTTAATCTTATGGTACCACTTATTCTATACTTTCAAAATCTTTTTCAGCCCAAAAACATAATGCGCCTACCCTCCGGGTTCGATCGTGTGACATCCCATTAAAAATGATAATAAAAGTGTTATCACACTACATAATAGTCAGCATAATTTCATTAATTAATTAGTCAAATATTTTGTTTCAACTTCGCAGTATTTCATGAAACATGATCCCAAATAGGGATGTTGATAATTACACTACTATGGCCTCAATAGTTTAACACAATATAACACTAGGATCTATTATTTTAAAAATAATACAAGAAGTTGGAAAAAAATTATTTATAATAAAAAGAATTGGAAGATATCCAAATCAACATGGAATGAATTAAATTAAATTAAAGTAAAATAAAAATGAAGTTTGATTATTGGAATTAGGTGTAAGCTAAGCTTTAAACAGAGAATGTATGGAAATGTAAATAGTCATAATTGGGAGGGTGGTTTTGAAGTGAATTGAATCAATTGTTCCCTGCTTGCGCCTATAAATACTCACATTTACACACACACTTCAATCACCATATATACAAGCAAAAGCAAATTACAAATATGGCTTCCAAACTCATCCTCCTACTTTCCCTGCTCAGCCTTGCATCCTTCTCCCTTGTCACTTCAATTAAACTACCTGGCCCACGGCCGCCTCCACGTGGCTCGCGCCCGCCTCCACTTGTCTGGCGCCCGCCACCACGTGGCTCGCGCCCGCCTCCACTTGTCTGGCGCCCGCCACCACGTGGCTCGCGCCCGCCTCCACGTGTCTGGCGCCCGCCACCACGTGGCTCGCGCCCGCCACCACTTGGCTGGCGTCCGCCACCACGTGTCTGGCGCCCGCCTCCACTTGTCTGGCGCCCGCCTCCACGTGGCTCGCGCCCGCCTCCATGCTACTGGTGGCGGCCGTATCCATGCGTCTGGCGGCCGCCTCCACGCGGCGGTAATCCACCTCCGATGATGGCCCCACCGCCTCGCCGTCAACCTCCGATGATGGTCTCACCGCCTCGCAGCAACGGCATATGCCCTAAGAACACACTACAATTGCGTGTATGTGTTGGTTTACTAAACTCGGTGGGTGGTAAAGTAGGCACTCCCCCCCTCCATGGCTCCACAAGGCCTTGCTGCAGCTTGATTGCTGGACTTGTCGATTTACAAGCTACTGTTTGTCTTTGCCAAACACTTAAGGCTCATCTTCTCCAAATCGTGGATGTCAATCTTACTGTCAGTCTTGCTCTCAAAGTTTGTAATCGCAATATTCCTCCAAAGGCTATCAAATGTCCAAAATAAACGCCCGCCCGCCTATCAATCTATACACCGCCTGCCACCCACATTCACAGATGGAATATATAGTAGAATTACACACACCACACACACACACACATATATATATAAATATCTAAATAAATGAGTTTAGTGAGTGATATGATAAATAACTAAACTCCTTTTACTATTACATGTATCGTTGTCACAATATATATATGAATGAATACCGAAATTACGTATAGTTAAATTTTAATTAACTACCCCTCTCCATCCTATTTTATTTATGTCTGGTTAAGCTAACAGATTGACTTGGTGGAAGTTCTTGACAATTCAAATTTTCATGATATTATGTTTAGTATTAGTATTTAAAATTTATATATTTAAAAACTACATTAAAAGTATTATTATATTTAAGAAACTGAATTTAAAAAGAAAGAATACAGTTCAAATTAGCCCCAGAACTGCACACACAAAAAAAATGCACTTGAATCATCCAACTCATAAAAAAAGATGCTGCACATGAAGCTAAGCTTAATTCTTATTTAGGGTGGGAAAAACAATATTTTGAGTATTAAATGTTTGAGGAGTGCATAAACATATACAAAAACTATCTCAATTAATTCACAATAAAGGATGCAAAAATTTTCCTATGATTCATATTTTTCTAATTTTAACATATGTTTTTGTGGATAATTCTCACTACCAAAGACGACTATTGGCAAAAACTTGTATGTGAGACCGTTGTTTTACGGATCTCAATTCGTGAGACGGGTGGGATTTTTGATATATGGGTCACGCTCCTACTAGATATGTTTCTCTCTATTTCTTTGTCACACAATTTGTTACGTACTGAAAATTAGTACGCAACGGAAGAAACCTTTCAAGCAGGCTTCTGGCTCCTAACCATATTCGAGTCACGGAAAACTCCAATTTCACACTTCGAGCGTGTGTGGGCTCCAAGAAGAATAGCTAAATATTAGAATAACAATATATTTCTCTGAGTGCTTCATCTTCATATACAATAACATATTTATACTAATTTACTAATACCTATAATAATTAACCTACCAAAGTTATACTAACTATACAAGGTAATGAATGATATACATAATTTCCCTATGCTAATTTAGGCACAATATTGACTATCTCACTAATTAAGTTGTATCATTCCTAATTATTCTTCTAATTCTAGACACATAATTAATTTTTCCTAATTAAGCTATATAATTACATTCAAGGGCGTATCACTCTCCACCCCTTCAAAAAACATCTTGTCCTTAAGGTGTAGGTATGAAAATGAGCATATTCATGTCTTAATGATACTGCATATGCTTGATTGATTTGGCGCACGTGGACATCATAGACAACATGTTCACTGGATGCCTTGTAATTTCATATTGGTGTCATGATTTTGACCAATTTGGGAATCATTTCAACTGCAAAGTGGATGAGATTTTCCTCCAAAGACACTATTGATGTGAAAATGGATTCTTGAAACAATTGGGGAGACTTAATGTGCACAATTGTAGTTGCTGCTTTATCTTTAATTGGTGAGTCAATTTGGGTTGATTCCACGCATACCGTGATGTGCCCTCCCATAGTATTTGGTGCAAGATCTATCTCCTCGTCAATAAAATTCTTAATTTCTTCTTGATTGGCTTGATTAGTATAGTCCTCACCAACAATTGGCTTGAAGAGTAGGAGTTTGATGATTTATTTCCCCACATATAGCCATTATTAATTCTGCATCAGGAAATTCTATATCCATAATGCAATACCCTTCATAAATATTTTGGCCATGGAATGTTTGTTTGACTATGATTGAATCCACAATGGAATCAAACCATACCAAAGCTTGAAAAATATAACTCTCATCCTTCAAAATATGAATATATTATACGAGTCCTTTTGTAGAAAAGATCTCATACAATACAAAATCATCAATTGGATACCATACTTGGTGTATAGAAACCAATAAACACCGATGAGTAATGTTTTCCATAATAATAATATATTTTTTTTCTAACTTTTTTCAATTGTTTTTTTTTTTTTTACTTTTGCCGTTTTTTTGTTCTTTTGGTCAAATTTTTCACCTTTTTTTTTTTCTGATTTCTAAGAAATGCAGCCAACAAAAAATAAAATCCTTTATATAATAAAGCTATATGGTTTGAGAAATAATTAATGTTACAATTAATGAAACAACATCCTTTATTATTAAAAAAAAAAAAAGCACAACATTTAAAAAATAAAATAGCTATATATTATATAATCATTTAAAAAATATACTTTTGAAAAATAAAATAGCTATATATTATATAATCATATAAAATGTGTTCAATTAGAGTTTAAATTTACACATACAAAATTTGAAATTTACTTTCCAAATGTAATTATCTTAGTTATTATTTGTATTGTAAAAATTATAATATAGATGAAATACAATTAAAAATAAATCAATGTAATTATGTAAATTATCTCTATAAGTTTATTTGAATATGCACATAATTAGAGATTATATTAACCATACAAAATTTTAATTTTAATTTTAATTTTAATTTTAATTGTAATTTTGTATTCTATAAAAATAATAAATACTTGACCAATGAAAGCTCAAAAATATTATTATATTAAATAATTTAAAATATTTTAGTTTTTCTATTTTTATTTATATTTATAATAACATAATTTTTTTCGTGCATCGCGCGAGTGATTTACTAGTTACAATAATAATAAAAATAAAAAGATAGGAGATACTTTCACCAATGAAAGCAATGAAAGCACCAATGTTACGTACTGAAAATTAGTACGCAATGGAAGAAACCTTTCGAGCAGGCTTCTGGCTCCTAACCATATTCGAGTCACGGCAAACTCCAATTTCACACTTCGAGCGTGTGTAGGCTCCAAGAAGAATAGCTAAATATTAGAATAACAATATATTTTTCTAAGTGCTTCATCTTCATATACAATAACCTATTTATACTAATTTACTAATACCTATAATAATTAACCTACCAAAGTTATACTAACTATACAAGGTAATAAATGATATACATAATTTCCCTATGCTAATTTATGCACAATATTAACTATCTCAGTAATTAAGTTATACCATTCCTAATTATTCTTCTAATTCTAAACACATAATTAATTTTTCCTAATTAAGCTATATAATTACATTCAACGGGCGTATATTATCACAATTCTTCTCTCCTCTCACGCTCTCCGCCTCCTACGATCTCGTCCTCCTCGCTCCTCCGATCCCCCATCTCCCCCGCCTCCATATCTCATCATCTTTTATTTTCTCAACACAATAATCTTACACTCCTATCTCATCCTCATCTAAATTATACTGGGAGGAAGAAGAGGAAGAGGGAAGAGGCTGGAGCCACCACCCCTTAGCTGTAAAGAAGGTGGCGGTGTTTATAATGAAGATGAATTATCTCTATGTGTTATTTACAGATCTCTGATGCGCAGCTCAACAGACTCAATAACCACAGCTACTAGTTGCCGATGAAGATAGGCTCATAGGAGCCGTAGCTTGTCATATAGATCGGAGATCGGACGATTATTTGTGTATCAGGAAGAAGAATCAAACAAGGATGTGGTTTCTCAACAAGCTGTTGCTCTAAATGTATAATCAATACTTTAATTAAGCCTTAAATACTATACTTTATAATTTAAGGGCGTTTGGAAACCCCGAAAATGACTTCCTGAAAATGTTTTTTGAGTATTAGTGTTTGGCAAGATGCGGAAAAATAAGGTCAATGAAAAATGAAGCATTAGTCAAGGGAAAATAGGTATGTTTTGGGGGAAAATGATTTCATTTTTTTTGCATATGCAAAATTTTTCAGGCTTAATTTTTTGCGGGCTTTTCGAGTCGACCCACCAAACCCACAAGTTAGGGTTCATGCAACCAAAGTTCGCCCCATGCGGGTTGGCGACCCATGGGCCGGTCAAAAAAAAAAAAGTAAAGTCTACAAATAATATTAATTTTTTCATATTTAAAAATTATAAAAACAATTACATTTTTTAAAATGTTAATATTATATATATATATATATATATATATATATATATATATATATATATATATATATATATATATATATATATATATATATCTCAAAAGTATCAAACAATTAAAATTTTGAAGTATTCATTTCTTTTCAATTTCCTACTATTTTTTGAAAAATGAACCAAACACACAAAGACAGTTTCCCGTTAGCCAAACACTAGCGGAAACAGCAAAGTTCAATTTTTCTGGGGTATTATCTAAATTCCAATAAAATACAATCGGATCAAGTATGAGTTGGCGATCAGAACATATATGGATAGAACTTCTACCCGGGTCTCGAAAAATAAGTAATTTCTGCTGGGCTTTTATCCTTTTTTTAGGTTCATTAGGATTCTTATTAGTTGGAATTTCCAGTTATCTTGGTAGAAATTTGATATCGTTTTTTCCATCTCAGCAAATCATTTTTTTCCCACAAGGGATAGTCCTGAAAAATAATTTTTTAGAAAATGACTTATTTTTTAGAAAATATTTTTTAGAAGTCATTTTCCTACTTTCCAAACAGAGACTAAGGCGGACTAAGTTGTTTTACGACAATGCGAGGAAGAAATCAGTAATATGAACATGCGTGATATGAATGATAAAGTAAATTTGTGTCTCATTTCATTAATAAAAAGGTTTTGCTTTATTTAGATGGCTTCTTTTTGGTAATTGCCAATGTTTAACTGCAAAGCATTATATATTGAGATGTAAAATTAAATCCTGTCTTGAATGCAAGTTGAAACCTAAAATTCTACTTGATTTTAATTAGCAAATTAATTTATCACTAATTAAGTTGTTTTACGAATGGGAAAAAAATAAATTAAAAGATAAGAAAGTAGAATCAGGAACACAACAAATGATTACGTAGTTCGGAACTAAACCCCTACGTCTGCGGGGCAACTCACGTCTTCTTAATCCACTAGATGTTCACTAAGATTACAAGGAGTTTGATTACAAATGTCTTAGCCACATAAACCAACTTTAATCTTCACAACACCTATTCTTGGAGAGGTACGTGTATGCCAATCTTCTTCAAGCTTTAATTGCACTGACCCAGCTTCAGGCAGACTAATATGACGAAACCATCATTTCAAACAATGAATAAACTGATATAGTATAATTAATATAGAGAGTAGAAGTCCTTCAAATTATGTCTATGAATTCCGTGAATAATGACATAGAAATCCAACCCTTTTATACTAGATATATAGCATAACCAACTTCCCAAAATAATGCTGATCAGAAATCCCTTGATAAAATAATATCCACTCGATTTAATTCAGGTTGAATATTAGTTCAGCACAACTGAATTCGGTTAGACAAACACGCTGAGATATCCGCTGACCCTGATCCAGCGTGAAAAAAACCTGAGACAGAATGCTGAGATAGATCCAGATAGGAGTACGGTCCAATATTACACCAAATTAAAATCTAAACTTTGTCAAATAAATTAGTCAATTATATTAAGGTAAAATGTGTATCATTTGTACACTTACAAGATGCAACTACAGCAAAAATGCAAAATACAAGGTGAAGCTGCATAGAAGGACAATATGTGAGAAATATCCATCAAGCTCAGCAGAAACTTCAATTGAAACCTAGTAAAACTTTAACACCAGGTGAAGGAACTTACTGAATAAAACTAAAAAAAAAAAACACCCGAACTTAAAAGAACTTTCAAAGCTGCAACCTAAACCTGAAGTAGATCATAGAAAGCAACCAGATTGTGGCATCTACCCCCAAAAAAATGGTTTCAGGTTAGCATACATACGACATGTTGTCAATGAGGTCCTAGGGGAATTTATAGGTTCAAATATCTTTGTTACGTTTGCTAATTGATTCCCCTAATTTTGCTTTTATTTTCCATGCTTGTCTTAATGTTGATATGTCATTTATTATAATTAATTGTTTTCTCAAGATATATTTATGTATGGTCAGATAATAATGAAATAATAGTTAGTACAAGTATCTTATAGTCTATATGGGATACAACACTCATTACTCCATCATCTATACTCATAAACGATATATTTCTTCGTACACCAAAGAAATCATTTAAAACTTAGCTTACATCTATAAGATCACAATAGATAGTAAAATATAGACAAATTCAATAAATTAAAAGCAAATTATTTCCACTAACAGGCAGCAAAATAAGTAAATTAATTAAATAAATCAAAGTTCATGTCAGATACTACAATGTAATAGAGCCAGTAGCTTTCAAAAAAAAAAAAAAAAAATCAAAGTTCATGTGTGTTCATTTATATGTCCATCATTAATCAACAATTCTTTCTACAATGCTGATTTCGACCTAGATATATCATATATAACATGATGATATGAACAATTTGTCTAAGATACCGGCTTGTCACTCACTTCATTAATATCGTTAGAATCACAAGAGGCTGAAGCGAATAGAAGCTTAACTAGCACGGCTGGAAATTATGGAATTTCTGACCACTTGAAAGTGATCTTAAATAAAGTCAAAGGCAAAAAGTGGTCGGAAATAGCAACAAAGATTTTTCTGGATACCAAAAGTGGTCAAAACAAGACTTTCGATTTGATTTAAGATCACTTTCAGGTGGTCGAAAATTCCATAATTTCCAGCAGTGTATGTAAGAAAATTCTCCCTATCTGTCAACAGACTACTATTGGATATCCAGTAGATGTTAGATATTGATGTAATCTAATTAACTGAATATAAAGTCTACCAGGAAAACCTAACCTCGTAATAGTGAGGTAGATCGACCTGCAAAATAACGTTAGCTCTTTTGTCCCATATTGAACCCTAAATGGTATTATTCTGAGCCGTATGCGTATTATTCTGAGCTGTATGAATAACATAACTTAATGGTGTTATATATATAATGTATGCATATAATGTATGTAGATAATGTATCACATCAATACAGTTTTATATTAGGCATAGAGTCTAACTGACTAACAAGTAACAACTTCTAATTATTCAGTCCAATCAAACTACGCCTAATTGTTATTCAGTCCAAGTAAACTATTTAATAAATCTAATCAACTTGCACTACATAATTAAGTTCAGAACCATTCTGAAACTACCGTTGCTCATATGACATTCCTGGGAACTTGAATTATTGTGAAAAGTGGTTTAATTTGATCCATCATAATTGGGAACTTCCAACCTCAGAGCATGCGTAGTATCATTTTCTCTTGATATAGATTGATTTGACTATGCTGCATAGACTAGTGGTTCTAGTAGTAATCCTATAGAAGTAGTACATACTTGCAGAGTTAGCAACCCCTTTTGTATGAAAGGGAAGAATTGAAGAAACAGAAAGAATGACCAAGTAAAATATTATATTATTCAATCCAGGCTTAATAATAAAATCATATATGTTGCAATATATAAGTTGTATACCAATAAATCTTGCTTTTATTTGTTATGTTATTTGTTTGCATTAATATTTTCTTTCTGTCTCACAAAATCTTGCTTCTTTTTTGGGCATTTCTTCATTTGGTGACCGTCGGCCTTTGGCCACGGAGCTTCATTTCTTGACCGGCAGTCTCCTATTTTCTTTTGTTTTTGTTTGTTTAGTTTCATAATAAAGTCCAGTGCCGATTCAGCCACCAACCCTTTAAGAAAGTTGTGATAGTTCCAAAGATTTAAAGCTTAAGGATTCCACCAGATCTGGATAAAGAAATAGTTTGTCCCGTGAATCCGTAAAATAAAGTTCAAGAGGCGTACTCTTGCTTCTCTTTTCTTTCGTGTTCTGTTTTTTTCTGTGTTTTTCTCTCGTTTGTGTGACGAGTTTGTTTTCCTCTGGTTTCTTTTGGCAAGTTCTTTTCTCCATAAGTATGAAATATATAAGTTGGTCATGGCATATGTGAACTTCATCCTGGGTGACAAAGATGACAATGTAAAAGAGCTTCTTCATCTGATATATTGTCAATGAATGACGTATGAAAAACATATACCCAGGTGGTGCGCAAGACTTTTCAACCAAAGTTAGTCTTGACTACATTTGATCAATTCTTCAATGATTTTAAAGAAGCGTTAAATTCATCTAATGAATTCAGCTTCAAATTTGTGAAACAATCTGCGATTTAAGTTCTTTGTAGCATTGCTAGGGAAATTGTTTCTATGTCTGATTGTAAGTAATGATATACCATTCCATTCATTCTATTTGTAATCCCTTCAGCTTATGATTAAATGAATGATGAGCTTCTTTATTTTCAAAAAAAAATATTCTACCAATTAATTATTGTCTCAAATTTCGAATTGCCTTTAGCATAAAAGATTTTATTTGCATGTGGCATCAAGATTTAAAGCATGAAACCAAACATCATGAGTGCTGATCTACAATCTAATCGATCATAAAGGAAACATGACCAGAGAATAGTTAAAATCATCGTAATAACCACACATGTCATACTTTACCAAATATCTTCACAAATATATATATATATATATATATATATATATATATATATATATATATATATTATGATGACAACACACGTAATCATGAAAGGAGTTTAGATGATTATATGAACCACTAAACTCAATTATTCATATATTTTTGTATAGACTATATATATCATTCCATTCAAGAATGTAACACACTAAAACATGCTACATCTTTAACACCTAAAACCATTTGTAGGGCTGCGTCCACATGCATTGAGAAGAACATTTATAGCAACCTTGACATTGACATTGGTGATGCCGGGAACTTTGAGTTTAGCTGCTGCGCAAAGACAAACGCCAGCTTGGAGATTATTAAGTCCATTAAGGTTTCTACAGCAAGGCCTTGCCACAATTGGGCGAGTAAACCCTGGGATAAAAGTTATCTTATTTAATATAATGGCACATATATTCAACTTTAGTTTTATTATTGGGCATGTACCAATGACAGGGGGAGGTGGAGGAGGAGGTGGTGGTGGTGGCGGTGGTGGAGATGGATCAGATGGAGGAGGTGGTGATGGTGGCGGCGAAGGAGATGGAGATGGAGATGGAGGTGGTGGTGAAGGTGGTGTACTAGGTTGGTTTTCAGTGTCGCCATTAGGAGATGGGACCGGGGGTTGGCTTGGAGGTGGGACCGAAAGTTGGCCTGGAGGTTGGCGTGGAGGTGGGACCAGAGGTTGGCTTGGAGGTGGGACCGGAGGTTGCCCCGGAGGTGGGACCGGGTGTTGCCCCGGAGGTGGAACCGGGGGTTGGCTTGGAGGTGGGACCGGAGGTTGCCCCGGAGGTGGGACCGGGTGTTGCCCCGGAGGTGGAACCGGGGGTTGGCTTGGAGGTGGGACCGGAGGTTGCCTTGGAGGTGGGACCGGGGGTTGGCCTGGAGGTGGGACCGAGGGTTGCCCTGGCGATGGGACCGGGGGTTGGCCCAGAGGTGGGACCGGGGGTTGCCCCGGAGGTTTGCCTGGAGGTGCAACCGGAGGTGGGATCGGGGGTTGCCCTGGCTGTGGGACCGGGGGTTGGCTTGGAGGTGGGACTGGGGGTTGGCCCGGAGGTGGGACCATGGGTTGGCCCGGAAGTGGGACCGGGGGTTGCCCCGGAGGTTTGCCTGGAGGTGCGATCGGAGGTTGGCTTGGAGGTGGGACCGGAGGTTGGCCTAGAGGTGGAACTGGGGGTTGGCTTGGAGGTGGGACCGGAGGATGCCCCGGAGGTGGGACCGGAGGATGCCCCGGAGGTGGGACTGAGGGTTGGCCTGGAGGTGGGACTGGGGATTGCCCTGGAAGTGGGATTGGAGGTTGGCCCGGAGGTGGGACTGCAGGTTGGCTTGAAGGTGGGACCGGAGGTTGGCCTGGAGGTTGGACTGGAGGTTGGCCTGGAGGTGAGACCAGAGGTTGGCCTGGAGGTGGGACCGGATGTTGACTTGGAGGTGTGATGGGTGGTTCAATACATGTACAAGGAGTTGGGGCAGCTATGGTTAGACAATCAACATGAGCAAAGAATAGGATATTAAGAAAAAGAAAGAGAACGGTTGGGGCTTGGGAATTGGACGCCATTCCCATGAAGTTAATGTAAATATTTGTAACTCCCCTTTTACTAGTGAGTTGATTTAAGAGTGTAGTGAAGGTGAGTATTTATACTTGCAAGCGAAGAGCTTTAAAACTACAATTTCACCTTGGAATCTCTAAATTTAGACTATTCACATTTGGGTGCCTTCTTATCTGAAAATTTACACATAATACCCATAAATTTTCATTTTTCGTTAATTCATTTCATGCATGTTGATTTCCTATTATACATTTTAAAGTGTAATTTGGTTAAACCTCATAGACCCTCCTGTAATAATTTTATACCTAATTGGTAAACAAAAGATTTGACTAAGCTAATGAGATTATTGTACTGTGCCATTTTTCAATGAATTTATTAAAATGTTAGGCATGTAATTAAAAGTTAAATAAGGGCTACTATTACGTATTTTTAAGAAATTAACTCTTTTATTTTAGTGTAACACTGTTTTCAAAAAATAAAAATAAAAATTAGTGTAACACTATTGCCACGTACTATTCAATTATTTTTTTTCCAAAAAAAAAAATAAAAAATAAAAAATTCGGTAGATATTTTTTTACAATGTGTGAGAATTCACTTTGTCAACGTCCTGCTGATGAATTGAAGGAACATCAATGTCGTTTATATATGTAAGAGTACTCTTAAATTTTTTATTGAGTTAATTACCGAAATGGTCCATTGACTATAGCAAAATTACCAATTTGGTGCTTGACTATTTTTTTTTAACCAATTAAGACTCTCAACTTTAAAAATCTTAACCAATTTGGTTCTCCGTTTGTTTGATCGTTAACTTGGGACCAAATTGGTAATTTCGCTATAGTCAAGGGACCATTTTGGTAATTAACTTTGGGGTGGGCAATTCGGTTTAGTTTTCTCGAACTGAACCGTACCAGACCGAACCGAACTAATTTGGTTCGATAATATACGGAACAACCGAACGGTATTGGATTCTTGTATATCGAACGGTTCGATAAAAAACTGATCCGAATTGTTCGGTAAAAAATTGAACTGAACCGAATACTGTTTGATTTTTTAAAAAATATAATAATTATAATAATAATAATAATAATAATAATAATAATAATAATAATAATAATAATAATAATAATAATAATAATAATAATAATAATAAAATAATAAGTAAATGCAAGTCCGTTACTGCTTGCTCTGTCGTTCAGCTCATATTCTCACGGGTATCTCTCGTAAATGTTTTATTTGATTTCTTTATGGTTTGTTATCAAAAGTTCTATATTATGTGTTATGGTGTTTACATAGTCCATATCCAAAGTCTAATATATATATATATATATATATATATATATATATATATATATATATATATATATATATATATATATAGCAATCCAAAGTTCAAACGGTATTCGGTTCGGTTCAGTTTTTTACCGAACAAATTCAGTTCGGTTCGAGTTTTTACCGAACCGTTCGGTATACAAGAATCTATTACCATTTGGTTGTTCGGTATATTACCGAATCTAACTAGTTTGGTACGGTTCGGTTCAAAAAAACTGATCCGAATTGCCCACCCTTAAAGGTAATTACCAAAATGGTCCCTTGACTAAAAAGGGAACTTTTCCACCCCAAAAAAGATATCTTTCATTTCTCTTTCACTCCATAGCTAGGGTTAGCTTTAGAATAGCTTAGATTAGTGTAGATTACTTGTTCATTTCCATTTTCCAAGCTCAAGAACATTGCAAATCTTGGATTTCAAGGCTTCAATAGAGAAGTGTTCTTTTTATCTCTTCTCATTACTTTTAATCTATGCTTTCAATTACTCCTTTAATATTGTGTTTCTATTATTATATTATGAGTAGCTAAGTGCTTTAGGACTAGGATTTGGTTTGATTTCTTGCTATTGATGCCTATTTGAGTTGTATTGCATAAAGGGGATTATATGGGAGATCTAGGGTTTGATGTGTGATTTGGGTTTGTAGTGAAATTGTGTATAATTGTTGCATCCCAATTATATGCTTTATTTGGAGTGTGTTTGTTGCTACGAGAGTAGAGCTTGTACACTAGCCACAGATTCACACACTTAATTAATGCCCAATACAAGAGTATTTTGGGTATTAATTTTAAGGAGAATTTATGCCTTGTGTTCTTGCTTGGGCAACCTTGGATTGAATTGTCACGAGAGTGGAGTTTAAGGATAGGTTGCAAGTCCAAATAGCTACGAGAGTGGTATTTGGACACTTTTGTGCATCTCTCTTCCTTATGCCTTGTTTAATTCCCTAATATTAGTGTAATATTTGACATCTTAGCTTGAATCGACCAAGTCCTGGTCCTTTGTTTTAATCGTCTTATTTGTTATTAGTTTGTTCGTATCAAACCATCTCATTAACGATAGGCCTAGCTTCTAAAAGGGTAGTTTTAGCTTGTTCTTAACTCCACTTTGCAACAATTCCTAACAATACAAGAGCCATCTCCAGTGGAACGATATCTTAACACTGTACTATAATTTGATACTTGATGGATGCGTGAAAAACGTCCTCATCACCGAGCTCGAGCTTGAATTGGGTTGGATTGAGTTTGAGCATGAGCTCGATAAGAATTGGTGTGCTCGAGCTCAGCTTAAAAAAATTTTTGAGCAGCTCGAGCTCAACTCGACTATTCGAGGTTGAGGTCAAGCTCGAACTTGGGCCGAAGATCGGTTCGAGATGGCTCGAGTTGAGCTCGAGCTCGAGATGCTCAAACTTTTTAAGTTCGAGTTTGACCTATTTAACTTCATGCTTCAATTAATATTAAAAATTAAATATTTTATTGATACTGTTAGGAACAAGTGTATTTAGGTTTTGATGATACCAAACTGTCATAGAATGTAGACCCCTACTTTTCGTTTGTTAGACAAGTCTCATATGACAAAGGCATGAGATGTTAAATCATGCACGAGACTAGCATAATAGGTCTACATGAAGATTTGAAGACAATAAGATGATTGAAAGATGCTTCCAGACGAAAGAAGGATTAAAGCAAGTCTCGAATAGACTGCTTTTACAAAAGGAACCTTCATCTAAGAAGGAAGGACGAAAGATGAGGACAATCTTTCGTTCCTCATTCCTAAGTGAACAAGTCAAGGACAGACTTGTAGAAAGACAACACTCATTAAAGGAAACAATGAGAATGTTGTCTATCACTCAGATGGGCAAATCATTCGGACAAAAAGTGTCCTAGGAATGATTTTCACTAAAGACAATGAGCATTAAAAGACTTGTACCATCTTGTCAGAAATCAAGGACAACAAAAGCCATAATGCTTTTGGCTCCAACGGCTATACAGTACAAGTGCATTAAATGCCTTTTGCCAACTGAGTAATACACACTGGTTATTAGGTTTGAAATTTTCATCTCCCTCCAACGGATGGATTTTTCCACCTATAAATACCTCTCTTCACCATTGAAGAAGGTGCTGGTTAACTCGCTCATGCAATCCTAAGAAAAGCTCTTCAAACAGTTTCATCTCCAAAAGCTTTTCATAACCAGTGTTAGTTGTGAAGTTTTTCAAAGGCATATTCATCTTAATACTTCACAACTTGAAGCAGTCTTGTAATTTTTCTCAAGTGAAGATCTATCCAGACATCAAGACAAGCTTCAACCTGTTGGAGAAACATCAGATTATCTTTCCAACATCTCAGCTTAGGAAGAAGTTGATAGAGGCGGAGTAAACTCGAGGAGTTGAAAAACCTTTCAAGTGGCTGTTCGGCTTAATGATCAAGGAAGTCAGCTTGAAGTAGTTTGTACTAGGAGTGATAGTGCAAACCCTTTCACGAGTTGTGAAAGAAGAGTGCAGTATGCAGAGTTGGCCGAACCACTATAAAAATCTCTCTGTCCATCTCTCTTTACTTATCGCTTTTACTTTCGTGCTTTGCATATCATATCATATCGACCAAACGTTAAGTTTTCACTAACACGAAAGTGTGCAAAGAAATTTTAAAACAAAACACTATCTCCGCTGCGTATATCTCCGAAAGGAGATTAATCGAAAAGAATCGATTAGAGTCTATTCACCCCTCCCCCCCCCCCCCCCCCCCTCTAGACTCTCTTTGACCCTACCGGAACCAACAAATACATAAAAAAATAAAAACTTTAAAAAATTTAAAAGTCCAAACTTCAAATTAAAGTTCAAAGCATGTTCACAACTTAGCTTCACAACAATTACAAGTCTACAACAACAATGGTCGTTGATTTCTTGTACATTTAAGATATTTCTTCCAAGATAAGCAGTTCAAAACATCAAATCAAAGAATGATTAAAAAGTATGCATAATATTAGATAACAAATGAAAGTAATTGCTAGCAATAATCGTAACAATAACAATATCGACTATTGGAAAATAGACAAGTATGTTATGTGACAATACATTTACACAATTTAAAAAATTCAAAACAAAAAATAAGTCAAGAATGCTAAATTAAAAAAGAAAAAGTATATAACTTACTTTCATGAGTTGAATACCGGAAGATAAATTTCTTGGTATAATTTCTCTTTTTTTAAAAAAAGAAGAAAAACGAATACAATTTACTTTATTTTGATAAGTCCTTGAATTGTATGTATATGTCGGAGCCAATCACCTCCACAAAATAAAGGTTGTATTGTTTCCGGCAACAATAATGATGCACAAGGAAAAAAAGCATAATAAATTTATAACTTTACAGGATTCTTACATTAAGAAAGTGTTTGAGGCTGCCTTTTCATTTGAGTAACCATTCTTTTTGCATTAGAAACAGTGCTATTAGTGTTTAATTATAATTAAAGATCATCCACACAAAACTCAGTTCCCAAACTGTATCTACTAAAAATCTAAAAGATCCAAAAAAATAGCCTTTGGCCACACAAAATTCAGTTTCAAGAAATGCAAAAAATATCCACAGAAGCATGATGGCTAACAGAAATACTATGTTCTTGCGTATACCCAAGGAAAGGTTTAAGTTTTTATTTGGTCATGGATCCACTTTTATATTAACATGCATCTATATCAAAAGAGATTTCCACTACCAGGAGGTGGGACAGGGGGTCAGTCTTCACTACTAGGGGGTTCAATACATGTACACACGGTTGGAAATTACAGACTTTCCGACCACCAAAATGTGGCCGGAAACGCCCTAAATCCGGCCGGAAACGCCTTTTTTGACCACTCATTCGATCACAATGGGTATCCGGAAAACCCTTGGAGGTGTGATAGGTGGTTCAATACATGTACAAGGAGTTGGGACAGCTATGGTTAGACAATCAACATGAGCAAAGAATAGGATATTGAGGAAAAAGAAGAGAATGGTTGGGGCTTGGAAATTGAAGGTCATGCCCATGAAGTTAATGTAATATTTGTAATTCCCTTTAATTAGTGAGTTTATTTAAGAGTGTAGTGAAGGTCACTATTTATACTTGAGAGTGAAGAGTTTTAAAAGACAATTTCACTTGGAATCTCTGAATTTAGACTATTCACATTTGGGTGTCTTCTTATCTTAAAATTTACACATAATTCCCATAAATTTTAATTTTTCGTTAATTCATTTCATGCTGATTTGCTATTATATCTTTAAAGTGTAATTTGGTTAATCCTCATAGACCCTTCTGTAATAATTTTATCCCTAATTGGTGAACAAATTAAAGGATTTGACTAATGAGATTATTGTACTGTGCCATTTTTCAATGAATTTATTAAAATGTTAGGCATGTAATTAAAAGTTAATTAAGGGCTACTATTACGTATTTTAATCTAATCAATTGGAAATTAACTCTTGTTATTTGAGTGTGGACTTTTAATTTTAGTAATAAACTACTACAAACTAAATCAATTTGATTGATCTGAGTTAGTGTTTTATATCAATACATACATGTATACATTTGAAGCTAGTGTAACACTTTTGCCACTATTCCGTTATATTTAAAAAACTTACAATTATACAAATCCAATTAGACAAGTGCACTTATTGTTTTAAATATAGACGATTGAGTAACGAGTGTTATATAACTTATGGACAATGAGTACTAGTACTAACCTTTGTAAATCTGCGGTGACATCAAGATTTTTAATTGTAGTTGAAAATAGTTTCATCATCATTGAACAGATACTATTATACATTGCAGAGTTTTTCTCAAAATCAATAGTCACAGTATTTGGGGTACTCAAATAATAAGGGAGAGTGGCAAATAAATAACAAGGGTAAGATTAGAAGAGAGCTGTTCTTGATATCTCTCTCACGAAGCTGTCGACGCAAAGGTCCGGGGATGACTTCCTCCTCGAGGCTGGTCTTGTGGCACGCTTTGGCACTCCTCCGCGAAGAACAACAGTTTGGATCAAATGGATTACACTACCGGCGGGGAGTTTAAAGCTAAACACGGATGCGGCTTACACTGTTGATGGAGCAGCGGGAGGAGCCTGCCTGCGAGACTCGTGTGGCCAGCTCGTGGTGGGGCTTTGTTTCCGTCTCGAAGCCTCCTCAGCTCTCGAAGCCGAGGCTCTTTCTCTCCAGCTTGCTGCCCAGTGGTGTGAAGCTTTCGCCAAACGTCCTTATGAGGTTGAAGTAGACTCCCGAGTGCTCGTTGACTTGACAGTCTCGAGGACGGATAGGCTGCCGTGGAAGATAAGGGATGCGGTGATTTTCATTTGATCTTGTCTAAGTTCGTAGAATGCCCGGATTAAGCACATCTACCGGGAGGCAAACCGGGTTGCAGATGCTCTTGCAGAGTCTAGCTTTGCTTTCCCTTCTTCAATGTATTTTAGCACTACTGATGCTTTACCTTCTAAGGCCAAATTAGCTCTTCTGTACGACCTTGGGGGCTTCGCCTCCCACCGTGCTATATGCCGCTAATAAATTTTTGTTCTTGGTAAAAAAAAAAAATAAAAAAAATTAACAAGGGTATCAACAACATAGTACTCAAAAAAACAATATTGGCAAGGGTTTTCTTTGTCTTGAGTAATTTTTAATTATTTTTAAATTTAATTTTTTTAATATTTAATAGTATTTTTAATATAGTTTCTAAATATATAAATTTATATACTAAAATACATAACTTAATATTATGAAAAATTGAATTAAAAATAACTTTAGTCAAATACCGTTAATCAAACGGAACAAATAAAATGAGACGGAGAGAGTAGAAAGATATTAGGTGGAATAGCCTCACAGTTTCAAATACACTAGCTAGGTTCCACATTAGCAGGCAAGGCAGTACAATTGTACAATTGGAATTAATATTTAACCTGGATTTGGGCATTCATGGAATAGATTCTCCCCCTAGGCCTACCTGTGCAGTGCCTCCCAGGTTCTATATTATATGTTTCAAATAAAGAAACAAGATTAATTGATCTAAACCAAGCACCTTATGCTCAGATGGCATATAGTGACATCTTCTATGTGAGAGGTCATGAGATTGAGCCTTAATGGAAGTGTTGTTAATTCTTTGTGTTTCATTAGGTTGAGAAATTATGTTTGAACAGATGCTACAATTTAATAGATCGAGTAAGTAACATTCAAAAAAAAAAATGATTAATTGATTTAATGGTATAATTGCACTTGGAGTCTAAATTTACACTATTAACATATGGGTATCTTCTTATCTTAAAAATCACACCTAGCTATTCCCACAATTTTATTTTATTTTTCTTTATTCCATTTCATAGTGATTTCCTATTAATTTGGATAAGCCTCAAAGGCGAATTGGGAAACAGAAAATTTGACTAAAGAGATTGTTGTACCCTGATACTGCCATTGTTCCCATGAAGTTATTAAAGTGTTAGGCATGTAAATAAAAGTAGAAGAAGGACTACTTAATATAACCAAAAAAAAAAAAAAAATTATAATGTATTTGTATTTGATTTTTAAAATCCGTTTTGTGAATTAAATATTCGTAAAAATGATGATGTCCTTATATATTAAATCATTTTTATTAACTCACTCTTTTTGTTGAAACAATTACTGAATTAAGCCATCCACTATTTAATATAATTAGTTATATACTATTTAAGCGATTATAACACTACATCCACTACGTACTCCATTAATTTATTTAGGTATACACTTAATTAGGAGTTTAGGACAACGTGTGAGAATTCATCTTTGTCAACGTACGTCCTCCAAGCAAGCTAGTGCGGACAAAACTATACATGATATAACTTTTTTAAGAGGGTGAACCATTTGGGATAGTTCCGGTAGAACATGCTTACAGTTAAAAACTAAGGACTGATATGATGTATCCATTTAGTAGATCAACGATTAAGAGTGGTTAAAAAATAATGACAAATGGAGTTTGTTTTATAGTATTACAAAGAGTTAATTTCAGCGGAAGTTCATTGTCTTTAGTGGTGATTCTAAATTTAGTCTCAGAATATAATTTTTACCTTTATTTAACACAGACTATCACATTTTAAACACGGTTGGTTTTTTTGATGACTTTTCCAGTGAAACTCTATTTTAGGCAACTATATTTCTGTCTCTTTAATTTTATATTATTATTTTTTCAATGAGTTCGCCGCTATTGTTTTAATCCATGATTTTGTGAATTATCTACTATATCTGTAAAGCAAAAAACAAAAAAAAAAAAAAAAACAAAAAAACAAAAAAAACAAAAAAGCCTCTTCTTTGTCATTAACAAATACCCTTCCTAAATTAGGATTTTGATAAGAGCTTAAATGTTCATATTTTCGCCTTGAATTTAAGCTTTTTTGCATTATATCATAGCAGGAGAAATAAAAGGAGGAAGTGAATCCCTCCAGACAGTTCGTGCCTCTACCGCACTTACATGTTTAGCTAAAGCATGAGCTACCAAATTGGAGCCTCTGCGTACAAACTTAACAGAACAAGCTGGAAAAGAATTAATTAAACGCAAACACGAATCTAAAACAATACCAAGATACGAACGATAAGAACCGGCATCCCGAAAACTAGCAACGAGAACCGCACAGTCTGATAGGATCTGAACATTGTGGTAGTTATGCTCTTGCAACCACGAAAGGGCCTCGTGTATCGCCATGGCTTCAGCTAAGAGGGGGTCATAAGGACAAGCAAGAGGGCCGCTAGCCGCTGCGACAAAGGCGCCATCCATGCTGCGCACGTAGAAACCGAATGTTGGGGAGCGATCCGGGCCCGAGAACCCAGCATCCGTGCTGCAGTACACCGTGTCCACCGGTGGTGGCAATGGCGGAGCATGGATCGCTTCGGCAGGCAGTGGAGTGGTATCCGACGCTGAGGTGGCAATGCGTAGACGTGCTTCGGACGCAGTCCAGGATGCCCAGGAGTTGTGGAACGCACGGCACAAATGCAAAGGAGATGGCATCGCGAAATCCCAGACAGCCATATTCCGAGCCCTTCATAATTCGTAGAGTATTCCACAAATATGATCTTTTAGGTAAACAGCAGATGTTGCTGAGCCTCCCAACCAAACCTCCACCCACTGCATAAAATCATAATCATCAAAGTTAGGGATTTGGAGTTGTGAAACATTCGACACACGTCTAGCATAAGTGCAAGTGCATAAAATGTGGAAAACATCTTCTTCAAACAATCCACAAGTCGGGCAAATATTTGGGATCTCCACTCTTCTTCTAACTAAATTAGTAATGGTTAGTAAAACATTCATGAGAGCTCTCCATAGAAAAACCCTCAATTTGGGGGGAACTTGCAATTTCCATATGTTATTCCAAACTGAGCCAGCTGGGGTATGAATTTCCCCTAGGCGCCTGTACCCATTTTTAACCATATATAGTCCCCTGAAGTCCCCCATCCAAAACCAATCATCCTTAAAATCCACACTCACCGGGGTTTGTAAAATTAAACTAGCATCTCTGGGGGCAAATAGCTGTGTAATTAATTCCTGATTCCAATCCCCGTGCTCCTGGTTAATCAAATCCGCCACCACCAAGCCAGAGTACTGGGCATCCTGATTCGAGAGTACAAAGGGATCCTGTGGGTCAGGTAACCAGGGGTGGGACCAAACTTTGGTGGTTCTTCCATTTCCAATTCTTTGCCTACATCCATTGCGGATAAGTTCCTGGCCAGCCATTATACTCCTCCAAACATAACTCGGATTACCACCCAAAGTGGCCTCATAAAAAGTAGCATCAGGAAAATATCTCGCCTTAAAAACTCTGGCCATTAAAGATTCCGGGTTGGTTAACAGACGTCATCCTTGCTTCCCTAACATAGCCAAATTAAAATCATGTAGACGTTTAAAACCCATACCACCATGCTTCTTCGGCACACACATCTTATCCCAGGTCATCCAATGAATACTATCCACAGTGTTACTCTTACCCCACCAATACCTGTTCATCAATCTTTCTAGCGAAGTACATAAAGTCACAGGCAACAGGTATATACTCATGGTATAAGTAGGCATTGCCTGAGCAACACTCTTAAGCAACACCACCTTACCCGCCATAGAAAGTAGCCTCTTATTCCAGGAACTAAACCTCTGTCTTAACTTCTGTTCAACATATGAAAAAACAGCTTTTCTGTTCCTACCAATAACTGAGGGGAGACCCAAATATTTTCTGAAATCCTCATCTTGTTCAACACCCAGTCCCATAGCAATGGCATTCCTGGCCCCCATACTAGTGTTGCGGCTAAAAGAGATACTAGATTTATGAAAGTTAACAGATTGCCCTGAAAAATGTTCATAAACCTCCAAACAACGCTTCACCTCCATGGATTCCTGCATGTTAGCCTTAAAGAAAAGCAAGATATCATCAGCGAAGAAAAGATGCGAGATGAGTGGTGCCCCACGTGCCACCCTACATCTATGGATCCGTCCTCTAGTCTGAGCATCCTGTAACAACAAAGACAAGTGGGTGAGCTTTTATAAGCTGAATAATATTTCCCGAGAGCCTTGAATTTAAGCTTATTCTCCTTGTTATTTGTCTAAGATGGATTTCATCGAACACTTGTGTTTTTAACATCACACACTCCCTTATTCTCAAAGGTGAAGCATGGTTGATCAACTCCTTGAAATTAGACTAGGTTATAACTTCTTAATTTGGACTCAAATATGTCAATCAACACCATCAAGGTTAAGTATCAATTTTCCTTCTAGCTCAACCAATTCAAAGTCATCCATCAAACACAAAGCCTACGTCCCTACCTCCCTCCAAGGAGAACTAATCATACATATATAATAAAAATAACACAATATTTACAAGCAACAAGATATTCCTTAACAAACACAAGATATAAGATCAAAGCAAAAAATTAAAAAAAATAAAAATAAAATGCAAAGGAAATAAAGAGAAGAAGATATATATTGGAAATGGATATGAAATCCTTGAAATCCAAGGTTAAATGCATCAATCCAAGCTTCCAAAATGTTTAGAAATCAAAATATAAGTCTAATCTAACCTAAAAATATGAAAAAAAAAAAAAAAAAAAAAAAAAAAAAAAAAAAAACAGCGAGCAACTAGGATTCTAAAATGGGTCAGAACTGAGTAGAATTTGCTTAAAAGGAGCTCAAATTAATTAAAAAACCACCGGGTAGGCAAGGGCTCTGGCACGAGTGTGCCTATGCCCTCGCCTAGCAAAACATTGCCACCTCATTATAGGTACGGTAGTGTCTGTGCCCTTGCCCATCGGGCAGAATTCCTATGCACATTGTCTGTCTTCAAGGCCCTTTTTCATCCCCGAATCCTTTGAATTCGTGTTTATGATCTTCATCAAAGTTGTAGTAGTTCAATTTATCTTTTCAATGGCATAAAAATCACTTGATTCAGACATTCCTACGCTGAGATATAGTCAAAATACCGAGCAGTGGACGAGTTGTGCGAGAATTTCAAGTTCTTGCTCTTTTGTTCCACTTTTGCCTTGGTTAATTTGTCCAAATGACCAAGACCATTGAACAACATTTGGTTCTCTAAGAGATGTTGCCCCCATCTTAATTGCTTCTAATTGGCTCCCATTGACTCTACACGCACCCGAAATACTCCAAAAATCATTCAATTCATCTAAATCATTAAGAATTACACCTAAACACACAAATGAATCAAATGAAGAACACTTTGCGAAAAATTATAACAAGTAACAAGGAAAATAAACTTAAATTCAAGGTGAAAATATAAACATTTAAGCTCTTATCAAAACCCTAATTTAGGAAGGGTACTTTTACAAAGAAGAGGCTTTTTTTTTTCTTTACAGCTATATTAGATCATTCACAAAATCATTGACTAGAACAATAGCGGTCAGACTGAAACCGACGGGGTGGCAACATCCTGAGCTTTCTATCTGCATTGAAAAATGATTCTCCCGCACTCGGAGATCCTCACATGCTCGATATCATCATTGATGAAGAACTTGGGGTCGGGTTGAAAGAGATGAAGACAAGAGTCCAGTGAAGGAAATGGTACAATTCACGACGGAAAGAGACTAAAGTCAGGAAAAAAAACTACAACACAGAAAAGTGAACATTTTTAAAAATAAATTGAAAAGACAAAAATATCAGTATCTAAAATAGGGTTTCACAGGAAAAAGCAACAGAATGACCAAAATGTCAAAAATATGATAGTCTAAGTTATTAAATGCCAAAAACGATTGTCTGGGACTAAATTTAAAATTTCCACAAAAGACAAAGGACCACCCGTTGGAATTAACTCATTGGAAAAATAATAATAATAATAATAATAATAATAATAATAATAATAATAATAATAATAATAATAATAATAATAATAATAATAATAATAATAACAAATTAAAGAGACGAAAATACAGTTGCCTAAAATAGGGTTTCACTAGAAACGTCATTGGAAAGACGAACAATGTTCAAAATATGATAGCCTAGGGTGTTAAATAAAGGTAAAAATTATAGTCTGAGACTAAATTTAGAATTACCACTAACGACAATGGACCTCCGCTGGAATTAACTCTTTGTAATATCTATAAAACAAACTCCATTTGTCATGCACTCGAAATACTCCAAAAATCATTCAATTCATCTAGGTCTTTAAGAATTACACCTAAACACACAAATAAATCAAACGAAGAACACTTTGTGCAAAATTATAACAAAGGACAAGGAAAATAAGATTAAATTCAAGGTGACAATATGAACATTTAAGCTCTATGAAAATCCTAACTTAGGAAGGGTATTTTTTTAATGACAAATTAAAGAAGAGGTTTTTTTTTTCCTCTTTACAGCTATAGTAGATAATTCACATAATCATGGGCTAAAATAATAGCGGTCAGACTGAAGCCGACGGGATGGCAACATCTTGAGCTTTCTAACTGCGTTGCAAAATGATTCTCCCGCACTCGGAGTTCCTCACGTGCTCCGTATCATCATTGATGAAGAAAAAATTGGGGTCGGGTTGAAAGAGATGAAGACTCGGTTGAAGGAAATGGTGCAATTCACGACTGAAAGAGACTAACGTTAGGGGGAAAAGAACTGCAACACAGAAAAGTGAAAATTTTTAAAAATATATTGAAAAGACAAAAATATCATTATCTACAATAGGGTTTCACAGGAAAAAGTAATCAAAAGGACAAAAACTATCCAAAATATGATAGTATAGGTTATTAAATGCCCAAAAACGATTATCTGAGACTAAATTTGAAATTTCCACCAAACACAAAGGACCTCCCGCTGGAATTAACTCTTTGAAAAAATTAAAAAAAAAATTAAAGAGACGAAAATATAGTTGCCTAAAATAGGGTTTGACTGAAAAAATCATCGAAAAGACCAACAGTGTTCAAAATATGATAGCCTAGGGTGTTAAAATAAAGATAAAAATTATAATCGAAAACTAAATTTAGAATTGCCACTAAAGACAATAGACCTCCGCTGGAATTAACTCTTTGTAATATCTATAAAACAAACTCCATTTGTCATTATTTTTTAACCACTCTTAATCGTTAATCTACTAAATAGATATATCATATCAGTCCTTAATTTTTAACTATAAGCATGTTCTACCAGAACTATCCCACATGGTTCACCCTCTTAAAAAAGTTATATCATGTATAGTGTTGTCAGCACTAGGAGGACGTACGTTGACAAAGTGAATTCTCACACGTTGTCCTAAGTGTATACCTAAATAAATGAATGGACTACGTAGTGGATGTAGGTGTTATAATCGCTTAAATTGTATATAACTAATTATATATTAAATAGTGGATGGCTTAATTCAGTAATTGTTTCAACAAAAAATAGTGACTTAATTTAATAAAAATGATTGAATTTATCAGGACATCATCATTTTTGCGAATTTTTAATTCACAAAACGGATTTTAAAAGTCAAATACAAATACATTATAACTTTAATTTTAAGAAGTTTGAAATGTGTTACTAAAAGTTCTCTTTAATAAATTAATATTTTTAATGTAATAAATTATTTAATATAATGTGAAAATCTTTTGTGTTTCCTTAATATAGTAGCCCTAACATGCATACTGATTTTTTGAAATCCATCTCATTGATCAAGATATGTGAAATGTTCTCACACAAATATTTGTAATTACTAAAATAAAAAAATTTACGAGAGTTAATTTTAATTTGGTTATATTAAGTAGTCCTTCATCTACTTTTAGTTACATGCCTAACAATTTAATAACTTCATGGGAACAATGGCAGTATCAGGGTACAACAATCTCATTAGTCAAATTTTCTGTTTCCCAACTCGCCTTTGAGGCTTAACCAAATTAATAGGAAATCACCATGAAATGAAATAATGAAAAATAAAATAAAATTTATGGGAATTAGCTTGGTGTGATTTTTAAGATAAGAAGATGCCCATATGTTAATAGTCTAAATTTAGAGACTACAAATGAAATTATAGCATTAGATCAATTAATCATGTTTCTTTATTTGAAACAAATAATACAGAACCATGGGAGGCACACGTAGGCTTAGGGGGAGAATAATCTATTCCATGAATGCCCAAATCCAGGTTAAATATTCCAAACCCGGCCTAACTATGTTCCTATTTGTACAATTGTACTGCCCCTTGCCTGCTAATGTGGAACCTTGTTATCAGCAAAGAAAGCCCATGCCAATAATATTGTTTTTTTTAGTACTATGTTGTTGATACCCTTGTTATCTATTTGCCACTCTGAGCTCCCTTATTATTTGACGAGAACTCTATTGCAATGTATAGTAGTATCTGTTCATACATACTTTCTCAACATATTGAAGCACAAAGAGTCAATATTCTGGTTCAAACCTGTGACCTCCCATTTGAAAAAGTCATAGTTATGCCGCTTAACCACAAAGTATTTGGTCAATTGACAATATAATATTGTTAGTTATGTTCTATAATCTCTAATGTTGTTAATATATCTAAACCGTACCAGTGATTACTGAATCTATGCCTGCAACAACCACACCACCTTCACCCACAATCACTACATACAACCATTTATGCACCTACTATATATTTCACTATATTATATTTCTCTATACCAGTCCCAAATTTGATGGAGTACTCATGCAGTCCCTAATCTCAAAATTGTTTGAATTGGAAATTAAATAGTCAAAAAAAAAAAAAAATCATAGATTCTCAAATCGAAATTTCAGATCGAGTTGGACATTTGCACACTACAAGCTAAGGGAGATTGCATGTTGATATAATGCTGAACATAAAGAAGAAGTTTGCTGCTGATTCGTGATATTTGAGATTTATTTTTTAATGGATGAGATTGGTTCTCATGAACTCATAGGGAGGGGGTTATCATGAGACCACATCCCTGTTTAGTATAAACGCACGTGAATATCGTACTTATTGATATACTGTATGCACAGCATGTATTGTGACCATTATTATTTGAGAGATAGTTCGATCTAAATACAACTACAATTAGAAATCTTGATGTCACCGCAGATTTACAAAAGTTAGTTCTAGTACTCATGGTCCATGAGTGATATAACACTCGTTACTCAATCGTCTCTACTCAAAACGATAAGTGCACTTGCCTAATCGGATTTGTATAATTGTAATTTTTTTAAAAAATATATATAATGGAATAGTGGCAAGTGTTACAGTAGCTTCAAATGTACACGTGTTGATATAAAACACTAACTCAGATCAATCAAATTGATTTAGTTTGTAGTAGTTTATTACTAAAATTAAAAGTCCACACTCAAATAACAAGAGTGAATTTCCAATTGATTGGATTAAAATACGTAATAGTAACCCTTAATTAACTTTTAATTACATGCCTAACATTTTAATAAATTCATGGAAAAATGGCACAGTACAATAATCTCATTAGTCAAATCCTTTAATTTGTTCACCAATTAGGAATAAAATTATTACATAAGGGTCTATGAGGTTTAACCAAATTACACTTTAAAGGTATAATAGGAGATTAGCATGAAATGAATTAACAAAAAATGAAAATTTATGGGAATTATGTGAATAGTATAAATTTAGAGATTCCAAGTGCAATTGTCTTTTAAAGCTCTTCATTCTCAAGTATAAATAGTGACCTTCACTACACTCTTAAATAAACTCACTGGTAAAGGGGAATTACAAATATTTACATTAACTTCATGGGCATGGCCTCCAATTCCCAAGCCCCAACCGCGTTCTTCCTTTTCCTCAATATCATATTCTTTGCTCATGTTGATTGTCTAACCATAGCTGCCCCAACTCCTTGTACATGTATTGAACCCCCTAGTAGTGAAGGTCAGCCCCCTGCCCCATCTCCGGGTAGCAGCCGACCACCTGTTCCACCTCCCAATACTGCTCGACCCCCTGTCCCAACTCCTGGTAGTGGCCAACCCCCTACCTCTCCAACTAATGAAGGCAGTGGTGTCCAAACCCCTACTCCCGGTAGTAGCCAATCCCTTGCCCCACCTCCAAATAGTGTCCAACCTCCGATTCCACCTCCTGATAATGGGCGACAACCTGTTCCGCCACCAAGTAATAACGGCCAACCCCCTATCCCAACTCCAGGCAATGGTCAACCCCCTGTCCCACCACCGGGCAATGGCCAACCTCCCATCACACCTCCGGGCAGTGACCAACCACCCGTCCCAAACCCTGGTAGTGGCCAACCCCCTACCTCTCCAACTAATGAAGGCAATGGTGTCCAAACCCCTACTCCCGGTAGTAGCCAATCCCCTGCCCCACCTCCAAATAGTGTCCAGCCTCCGATCCCACCTCCTGATAATGGGCGACAACCTGTTCCGCCACCAAGTAATAACGGCCAACCCCCTATCTCACCTCCAGGCAATGGTCAACCCCCTGTCCCACCACCAAGCAATGGCCAACCTCCCATCACACCTTCAGGCAATGACCAACCACCCGTCACACCTCCGGGCAGTGGCCGACCCCCGGTCCCAACTCCAGGCAACGGCCAACCTCCCGTCCCACCTCCGGGCAGTGACCAACCACCCGTCCCATCTCCGAGCAGTGGCCGACCCCTGATCCCAACTCCAGGCAGTAGTCAACCCCCAGTCCCACCTCCAAGCAATGGTCAACCCCCAGTCTCACCTCCAAGCAATGGTCAAACACCGATCCCACCTCCGGGAAGTGGTCCACCCCCCGTTCCACCGCCAGGCAATAGCCAACCCCCCGTCCCACCTCCCAACAGTGGTCAAACTCCAGTCCCACCTCCAAACAATGGGCTACCCCCTGTCCCAACTCCGGGCAATGGCCAATCTCCCGTCCCACCTCCTGGCAGTGACCAACTACCCATCCCACCTCCGAGCAGTGGCCGACCACCGGTCCCAACTCCAGGCAGTGGTCAACCCCCAGTCTCACCTCCAGGAAGTAGTAAACCTCCGATCCCACCCCCGAGCAATGGTCAACCTCCGGTCTTACCTCCAGGCAATGGTCAACCCCCGGTCCCACCTCCGGGAAATGGTCAACCCCCCGTTCCACCGCCAGGCAACGGCCAAACCCCCGTCCCACCTCCCAATAGTGGTCAACCTCCTGTCCCACCTCCAGGCAATGACCAACCCCCTATCCCACCTCCGGGCAATGGCCAACCTCCCATCCCACCTCCAGAAAGTAACCAACCTCCCGTCCCACCTCCGGGCAGTGGCCAATCCCCCGTCCCACCTCCGGGCAATATCCAACCTCCTGTTCCACCTCCAGGCAATAGTCAACCTCCCGTGCCACCTCCGGGCAATAGCCAACCCCCCGTCCCACCTCCAAGTAATAGCCCACCTCCAGGCAGTGACTCACCTCCGGTTCCATCTCCAGGCATTGGCCAACCCCCTTTGTCACCTCAAAGTGATGTTAGCAGTGGTGGCCAACCCTCTACCTCACCTTCTAATAACAACGGTGGAACATGCCCAAGGGACAGACTAGAGTTAGGTGTATGTGCTCTTGCAGTCAAGAAGATCGGTTCAATATTGCAGATTGATCACAGTATTCCCATAAGGCCTTGCTGCAACTGCCTTAGAGGGCTGACTAATTCCCAAACTGCTACATGTCTTTGCACAGCATCTAAACTCATTGTTCGTCGTATCAACAATGCCGACCTTGCTATATATACTCTTCTCAAGCTGTGTGGACGCAGGGCTCCAAAGGGTTTCAAATGCGTATAAGACGTACCATGCTTTAGTATGCTGCATTCATGAGTGGAACTATAGAGTTATATATAAAAATATATGAATAAATGAGTTCAGTGATAATTGAACTCCTTTTATGATTACGCTTGTTGGTTGTTATTACAATATTATGTGAGAATTGAAAAACTTGTTGGAGCACGAGTACTCATTGGTTATGTTGGAGTATGAACCTCTATTATTGTGTTAAACTCTATTTTATTGTTTTTTTTTTACAATTGATTTATGTAGTTAACATATATATATATATATATATATATATATATATATATATATATATATATATATGATTCCAATTGTGATGAAAAAGTCTAAAAAAGAGGTGATTAGACATTTTAAAATTTAAAAGCTTTTGGTGCATAGAAGATTTTACAAAATAGTTAATTTCTGTTGACTAGATTTTTCAAGCACATTCAAACACGGGAAATCTGAAAAATAATTTTCAAAAATCATTTTTTATTTTCCAAACACACCGTACATAGTAAAAATATATATATGGTCAAAATTTAGTACAGCGAATATTGATTTTAAAAAATTATTAGTTACACAGAGAAAAAAAAAAAAAGTAAATAATGTGAGTGATGTTGAAGTGGGCAAAGTAAAAATGATACAAGAATTTTATAGTGGTTCTTATTTTTAATAAAGACCAAAAAAAAAAAAAGAAAAAAAAAACATTTTTATACGTTGTCTTTCAATCAAATACTATAAAATTTTAAAAAAATTTAGAAAAATAACTCTCTTTCTAAAAATATTGGGTGCAAGCTAGGTCTGCAATTGACATATAATATTGTTAGTTCTATAATCTCTGGTGTTGTACATGATCGATGTTGTTAATATATCTAAACCACTGATTACTGAATCTGTGCCTGCAACAACGTAACCACGCACACCACCTTCACCCACAATCACTACATACAACCATTTATGTACCTACTATATATTTCACTATATTATATTTCTCTATATATACCACTCCCAACTTTGAAAAGGTTAGTTTATTTTATAAATTAAACAAGCTAAGTGGTATAAATATATATATAGTCCCACGGTGATTAATGAACAGTTTGACAATTAAAGTGGGAGTTAATACCCAAAATCGTCCTCGACTATAGTGTTTTTTCTCAATTTCGTCCTAAACGACTTTGGTGACTTAATATCGTCCCAGACTTTTGTGTTTCGCTCAATTTAGTCCTCCATTTGTTATTCCATCAAATTGGTGTTAAATAAAGGGACAATTCAGTAATGTCAATATTGATCTCTCTTTACTTTCAACTTGTGAAGTGCGAAATTCCTCTTTCTTGTACGAATTACACCCAGAATTACTCCCGGACCTGCAAATCAAATTTTATATTCGCAGTTTTAGGAGTAATTCTGGGAGTAATTCGTAAAAAAAAAAAAAAAAAAGATTTCGCAGTTCACATGTCTATGAGTAAAGATATGCCAATATTAAAATTACTGAATTGTCTATTTATTTTACACCAAATGGACAGAATAACAAATGAGGGACTAAATTGAGCAAAAATACAAAAGTCTAGGACTAAATTGAGCGAAACACAAAAGTCTGGGATGATATTAGGTCACCAAAGTCATTTAGGACGAAATTGAGAAAAAACACTACAGTCGAGGACGATTTTGGGTATTAACTTATTAAAGTGGCTACAATATAATATTAATTAATTTGCACACTACAAGGGAGATTGCATGTTGATATAATGTTGATAAAAAGAAATATCTTTAATGAATATGAAAATTGTGACGATGATGATTGGATGTTTGTGATGAAGACAATCTTTTATCTTGTAATATTATGTTAAACATGTTTTTGAATAGTATCTTTTATGTTGTGTATATATTTCTTAGTTATGTCTTGTCAAATAAAAGACAATGGGGGAGATTATTAGTGTTGTAAAATGTAAACACTTATACCTCATTTTTATAATTGGTATGTTATTATGACAAGCTATTATATTGTTTTGTTTGTAAGTCCATAAAATTAATAGTTGATCAACTATAGTGAACAAACTGCTCTTGGGGAAGTTGCAACAATGAAGGACGAGTGAAGGCTATTACCAGATAAATTCAGTAGGTCGCCCCTTATAACAAGACAACATGTTTAGACAAGCATTCTACTTTTGTGCATATTAAAGAGTCCTAAATTGAAAAAATAAGAGAAAATATATGAGTTTATAAGGTCATGGGTTAAACTAGCTAATTGGTTGCATTCAATCTTTTAATGTGGTTTGACACATGTGCATTATAACCCAATTATGTGACCATAGTTCAATCTTAATTACTGCTCCCTCTGTCCCATTTTATCTGTCTTATTTATTACTATTCATTGGTCAAACCAAGTATTTCTTCTTTATTTATTGTTTTTAGTATTTTTTTTTACTTATTTTTAAATTTGATTTTTTTAATAGTACTTTTATTGTAGTTTCTAAATATATAAATTTTGTAAACTAATACTAAATTTAATATTATGAAAAATGGAATTAAATAACTTGAGTCAAGTCTCGTTAATGAACCAGACACATAAAATGAGAGGGATGGAGTAGTTTATAACAATGTATCAGAGCCTGTTCGGTCCACTTTGTGGCATCCAAAATTTTCGTTTCAGGAGAGAGTGATTGGATCCAGTCTTGGGTGTATGTGCTCTTACACTCAAGAAAATCAATTCACTCTTGCAGATTGATCATAATATTCCCATAAGGCATTGCTGCAACTGCCTTAGAGGACTTACTAATCTCCAGGCTGCCACCTGAAGCTGTGTGGACGCAGAACAATATAGTTATATATAAAAATATATAATAAATGAGTTCATGATAATTTGAACTCCTTCCTACCTCTACTAAGGCTCGAGCCCACAACTTTCCATATAAAAAATAACCTGGTGTCACTATACCACTAGGTCCTTGGTCAATAATAGGTAGAATATTAATACAAATAATAACGAATAATAATAGGACTAGTTAGCATCAATCCACCGAATTAAATTTAAGAGTTAATACCATCTGAGGTCCTCCGAGTATAATAATTTTGTCACGTTTAGTCTTAAACTTTCAAATTGACCATCTGTGGTCCTTCGACTTTCAAATTTAACCATTCGTGGTCTAAGTTAACCACACGTGGTCCTTCAAGTTTTGAAATTTAACCAATCGTGGTCCTCTTGAAAGGACCATGGTTGGTTAAAATTCTCACGAGATATATAATTAGTTAGACATGCATCACTTTTTATTATAAAACTAGTTTTTCACGCGCAATGCGCGAATGAGATAATGTTCAATGATTATTTTTAAATAAATACTTCAAAGTATATCCATGCAATATTATATAGGAGATATTCATGCATAGGTAATTGAATATTGAATTTGTTCATTTAAATCAGTAATTCAAAGTATATAAATGCAAAAATCAGTATATCAATGTAAAAATTAATTTACAAATTTCTTTAGCAGTTTTAATGCATTGATAACAAAATTCTAACTTCTAAGAATGATATGTAAACTGGTTCCTGATTTATAATTTTGATGCTCAACTTTGAATGCTATGTATTTAGTCGGGTTAATTATTTGAGTAAAGTTTATGTTAAATTTTATACTGTGTTTTTTTTAATACATTTTAATATATTCCTAGTATATGTTTAACAATTATGTCAATTCTGATTAGAATGGGGTTCGAACCTAAGGCATTTTCTATAGAAATTAATGATTAAGTTAAAAATAATAAATAGTTAACAGAATATTCCGTTACTAAAGTTTAATAGTTTATACTAATGAAATGCAGGGTTATTAAGGAAAGAAAATAATATAATAGAGGGTAAATAAGAAAAATCATTCAAAAAATAGTAAAATCAAAATAATATGAACTATTCATTTCAACAAATAAAACACCAATATTTTTTTATTTTCGCTAAGGTCTAACTGTATTAGCTCTTATACATTTGTATTTGTAGATTATAATATTTTACAAAGCATTTTTATCAGATCTTAAATTTCATAAGAGAATTATTATAAGTGAAAAAACAAATATTATATTAATATAGTATTGATACCACTAAACTTAGTGGTTAGCTCCGCCAATGCCCAAGCTTTCGACAGCCAAACTTATCTCTTTTTGCATAACACAAGGATTGTTATGCCGTAGAACAGTGTCCACCTTGCAAGGTGAACAGGATTCTATGTTCATAATTACTGAACTCTATATTCATAATTTTTTAACTTCATATTCACAATTATTGAAATCTATATTCACAATTACAGAACTCTATGTTCATAATTTGACACTTTTAATTCTAAACTCTAAAATTTTACATTAATAGGTCGAGAAACCAAAACTTCCAAAATTACTACTTGGGAAAAAAAATGATCAAAACCAGCTAACAATGCTCACGGCAACAACAATTGAAAGGACAAAAAATGTTATTTTTCTCATAAATAAATAAAATATGCTTTTCTGCATCCAACAAAAAGCTGTTGCTAGAAGAAATTGACAGTAATTCATCACTCATCAAATTTATTCCCTCCCAGGAAAAATAATACATATAAAGCTGGCAAATGCACAAGAAGAAGAATGAGTGATAACCAAGCAAAATTTTATGCACTGTAAATCCCGCACCCAATCTTGTTTACTGAATCAGCAGTATGGTGAGACACCAAGCAACGGTTTCAAGCTAGACAGTTGAGTGCGTAAAAAATTGTAAACTGACTCAGTTGTTACGGCAGCTACTCGAGTAACAACACCTACTCCCTGCAAACAACAAACTTCTTAGCTTCAGACTGATATTCTCAACATCGCTAAGTTACAGAGTTGCATCCATTTAAAATGGTTCGAATTGATATAGGTAAACAGATATAGAGGGAATTTTTGGCTTTGAAGCAACTAAAGAAGTAAAGAGGGCCAAGCACATTGTGCTCAGATGGCATGTAGTGACCTCTCTCATGTGAGAGGTCATGAGATCGAACCTCAGTGGAGGCATTGTTGACTCTGTGCTTCATTAGGTTGAGAAAGTATGTTTGAACAGATCAGATACTACAATGTAATAGAGTCAGTAGCATTCAAAAAAAAAAAAAAAGTAAAGAGGAAAAAAAGGGGTATATGTTGGCTTTCTGAATCATCATCTCTTGATATCTCGATCCTGGTGGGTCAACTAACTCAAGAAATTCTCCATTTTTTTTTTGGAAAAACGAAAAAAGAATGTGTTTTTGTAACGTTTCTCCAATTTAAAAAACAGGGAGTGGAGAATGGAAATTTGGATAAATGAAGTAAATGCAATGAATCCCAGCTAACTCTTTCAGTCACCTCGCCCTCACTTTTTTCCCCGAAATAACAAAATGTTTGGAAAACAAGTTTTCATTCTCTCCCTCTTGTTGGGTGTGGAGGGGGACACATGTAAATACCTTTGGACCAAATGGACTGCAAGAAGCAACAAAACTCGGTTTTGCCAAGGAGTGATTACTAGGCTTATTCGCATAGTGTCCGGAGCCAAATGAAGGAATATGTAGATTTTGAGACATTATTCTCTTCACATCTTGCTGGATTTGGTTTTGGACATGTTTCAACTTTGGACTGCAAAGTAGTAGTACAAACATTCTTAGCTCTATACAAAACGAAAAACGAACAAGGGTAGGGAAAAGAGTTCAAGTGCATGATGAATGATGATATACCCATATACTTACCCCAAAAGTACGAGTGTTGCAACTACTTGGTAGTCTCTCATACGCTCAGCAATACTGGTAATTCCTTGATTCTCGAGCATTAGCTGATTGTAGAAAATTGTTTGGTAAATTAGCTGATAGCTGATTACATGCAAAATGACTTTCTCAAAAAGCTAATCGAAAAAGCTATTTTGAGCAGCTTTTTGAATTTTAGCATTTTGGAGCAATAAGTTGTTACAAAAAGCTAATTAATCAAACACTCATATTAATTGTTTAAGTCAAACAGCTAATAGTGGTCAGATAAGCTAAAATTGGTTGATAAGCTAACTATGTTACCAAACAGATCCCACAGATCATGCATCCACGCCTTTTTCTATGTTTTGGATGTACTCACAACCACATTATAAGAAGGACCGATAAGGTTGAACTCCACACCCGATTACTGGAAACTTACCCAATCATTTTAGGTAAAAGAGATGGGTGAAGAAGATATTACCGTATCGAGGAACAAAGGCTGATCACCATCCAAAAAGATGTGGTTTGTGCTTTTGTAAAGATCAAATTCCCATTTTTCTCCTCTTTCATGACGGCCACTAGTTATCCAGTCAACCAGAAGCAAGTTCGAATCTGGCCCAATTCTGAAGACTTGCCTCTGAGAATACTTTGCATTCGAATAGCATGTCACAGGATCTGGAATCACAGCCAATAGAGAACCACTTCCTATTCGTGCCTACTGCATGGCAATAAATAGCCAGCATTATTAGAAAGGGTAACCAAAATCCATAGTTATAAGGAACAAAACGGGGCATAAGCAGTAGAGGTGAATTATTATTTATATGAATTGCCTAAAGAAAATTTTTAAAGAAGTATATACATAGTAGTATCTCTACCTCCAGAAGCTGCTCAGAGCACTTCAACTCCACAGACTTATACACCTACAGTAATCAAAATTATTACATTTGTTATCAAAAGTATTACACTTTCTTGTATAATTAACAAATAATTTATTCTTGATTAATATTACATTTCTATCTTGACCCAAATCCGTGAGACAGTCTCAGGAGACTCACTCTAAGTAATATACGGGCCCTGTTTGGTAAAAAATTGGCCTATAGGCCAATTTTAGCTTATTTGACCACTATTAATTGTTTGATTTAGTTAAAATATCAATATAAATGTTTGGTTAATTAGCTTTTTGCAACTCCAAAAGGCTAAAATTCAAAAAGCTACTCCAAGCAACTTTTTCAATTAGCTTTTTGAGAAAAGAAATTATACCAAACAGGTTTCAGCTAACAGCTAATTTACCAAACATTTTTTTACAATCAGCTAATGTTATCAACTATTTATACCCTCTAATTAACACAATCAGCTAACAGCTAACAGCTATCAGCCATTTTACAAACAATTTATAATGCAAAGAAAGACTTGACCTTTGTAGAGGCTTGTGTGGTCAAAACAGCTGTGCAACCATCTCCCACTGTAATATGACAAGATATACAATCTCCCTAATTGCACCATCAAATTCTAAGTGAATGCAAATTAACTGAAATACAAAATTAAATAATAAAATACAGAAATAAAATTCTACATTCTTAGAAATAAATATAGAAACTATTACAGGAGAGAAATGAAACAGTTGCCGGAGATGAAGATTGAAGACATACAGAGACAATGCCTCCGCCATAGGTGATAGTGTAAACCCAAACTGCGTCAGTTTGGGATGAACCCACCTACAAGAACATGACAATTTTGAAAACCCTAAATCAAGAATCATAACCACTGTATATAAATTAGGGTGGCTTGAATGATAAAATTCCCAGCTTTAACCTTCTTGGGTATGATGAATTTGAGAGGATACTTGGCGAAGCAGTGAGTGACCGTTGACTTTCCCCCCACCCTTTCCACCACCACCTTCCCTGTTTCCATTTTTTTTTGTTTTTGTTTTGGTCTTTGTGTTGTAGAGGTGAAAATGGCAATAGCTTCTTTCAGTTGGATCTGTTTCTGTTTTCCTTCAGAACCCGGATCCAATTTCAGTAACTTGGGCCGACACTTTCCATTATTATTCTCGGACACATAATTACCAGTTGTTATATTATAGACCGCGGTGCATAATCAATTATGCACCGCGGCCCATATACGGCGCCTTTTCTTTAAGTAAAGAAACGGTCCACCGTTAGAGTTAACGGAGTCCGTTTGTTTGGTGTATTAAACACCAACTGACACTGCAGTTATATCAAAATGATACTATAGTTATAGTGAAATGAAACTGCAGTGTATATAAACTGAAACTGAATAACATTTCACATATTTGAGTGTATATTGTACAATGAAGCTGTAATTATATCAAAATGATCATGTAATTATGTTTTAATAAAACTATAGTGTATATAAAATAAAATTAAATAACATTTTCACATATTTGAGTCTATAAAATATCGAATGAAACTATAGTTATATCAAAATGAAACTGTAGTTGTGTTCAACTGAAACTGCAGTGTATACAAAATGACACTGAATAACAGAGTTACTTTTTGTAAAAGGGTGCGAAACGGCGGAAATAAACACTGTTAATTTTCATTTAAAAAAAAAAAAAAGACGCGCGGTGCATAATCGATTATGCACCACGGTGCATAATATAATTTGCCCATAATTACTCCGAATTTAATCATTGACTATTACTCATTTCTAATTTTAGTCATTAACTTTTAAAATTATCAAATTTAGTCCTTTAAATATTGAATCCTTTCTACTACGTAATTTTAATCCACATTTAGCTTTTCTCTGTGTAAATCGTTAATATTAAGGGTAAAGCAAAAATTCATGATCATTGTGCTAATTGCTTCTCACACACAGGAAGCAATGTTATAATTTCGTTATTCTAGCAATCCTAATTCCACCCTCAACGTTGTACTTTTTAACTTGTCGCCTAGGCGACAAGGCGGGGGGGGGGGGGGAGGGGGGGATGGAGAGGAGGGGGGCTCCATGATAACTATGATTCAGTTTGATGGCCAATTTGAACGTTTTAGATTTTTGAGAAATAAGAACAATTTGCAGCTCTCAACGTGTCCAGATCAACGAATCAGGTATAATTTTTTTAAAAAAATGACACGGTGACATTTTCGTAAATAATTCAAACTTTGGTACAAGTAAATGTGTTATAAGTGCAAGTAGCTGGTGCACCTTTGCATGTAAAAAGGGCAAGTAAAATCGCTTACAAGTGCACCTATTTCCACTTGCAAATGCAAGTAATTTACCTTGTTAGCATTCATGCACCTAGGTGCAACTAATTATAACGTTAGGTGCAACTAGTTATAACGTTTTGTGCACTTAGTATTGATATTCAGTGTAAATTTTACTTGAACATGTAATACATTTTACTTGCACTTAGATGAACTGTATGAAGCTGGTACTTGCCTTGTAATACATTTTACGTGCACTTGTAAGTCATTTTACTTGCACTTTGATATCCAATTATTTACAAAAATGCCACTGCATTTTTTTTTAAATCAGTGTTTCTCATTTCTTTCCTGGGCGAACCGTTCGCACCTGAACACACTCCTTAGAACGCATGTCATCCGTCCACGTGTCCAGATCTAATTGATGAGAAACACTGATTTTTTAAAAAAAAAAACGCGGTGGCATTTTTTAAAATAATTGAAAATCGAAGTGCAAGTAACAGTTTCATATAGTGCACCTAAGTGCAAGTAAATTACTTGCACATGTAAGTGAAAAATAGTTGCACTTGTAAGTGAAAAATAGTTGCACTTGTAAGTGATTTTACTTGCAAAGGTGAACTAGTTGATTGCACTTGTAACATATTTACTTGCACAAAAGTTTGAGTTATTAACGAAAATGTCACCGCTTCATTTTTTTAAAAAAAATTACATCTAATTCGTTGATCTGGGCACGTTGACAGTTGTAAGTGATTCTTATTTCTCTCATGGGCGCTTGTTCGCATTAGAGCGTGCCCGTGTGTGTGTGTGTGTGTGTGTGTGTGTTTGTGTGTGCGTGTGTGCGTGTGTGTGTGTGATCATATGAGAACAAGTCCGTAGGAGAAAACTAAGAACTAATCCAACCTTACATTTGGAAAAATTGAACGCATCATATTAGATTTTTTTTTAAAAAAAATGTAGTGCCAGTTTCGTAATTATCACCAACTTTTCTATGCAAACGGATTGACACATTTAGTATTAACGTTTTGCACATTTAGTGTTAACATTTTGCACAATTACTATTTAGTATTAAAAGTTTACACTTACAAAAATGCGAAGTGCATTGCAATTAGGGCTTTGATTTTGGAGTTTTATGTTGAATTTTTATTTTATTTGGTTTAGTGGTTCACTTTTTACTGTTTAAGGTGTAACCATTTAAAATTTAGCTTTTTTTATTGATTTTATAGAATTTACCCGATTTACATATTTAGTTGTTAAAGATTACATATTTAAGTGTTAAAATTTGCACAGCAGAGTTGATGATAATTACGAAATTGCCTCTGCGTCTTTTTTTAAAAATCTGATAAGATCCTTTAAATTTTTACAGATGTAAAGCTGAGATTGATTTTTATTTCTCTCATATGAAAATATTCTCACAGGATCCATAGCCTCTGTGTGTGTGTGTGTGTGTGTGTGTGTGTGTCCATATTGAATATTAATTAAAAAACTCACGGTGGCATAATTGTAATTTTGAGTAAGTCATATGGTCTTTTGTATTAGTGCACATTTTTCTTCTTCGAGTGTACGTACATTTTTTTTTCTTCAAGTGCATCTGTTTTGTTTCAGTATTTAGTTTCTCCTTTGAGTGCACATCTTTGTGCCATTAAGTGCACATCTTTGTGCCATTGAGTGCAAAAATTTGGCCTTCAAGTGCATGTTTTTCTTTCTGAGGTTGCACAATTAATTTTCTTCTAATTTTCCCTTTTAATGTCTTTTTTTCCCTTGTCTTCTAGTGATCCTCTTTATGTTTTCAAGTGCTCAATTTCATGCCTACAAGTGCATGTGTGTCTTACTATAGTGATAAAAATAAATAATACTTAGCATTCCATTGAACCTTTTTTTTTTGCCTTCTAGTGCATGTTTTAAGCCTTCAAGTGCATGTTTTCCTTTCCAAGAGTGCACAATTAATTTCCTTCGATTTTCCCTTGTAGTGTGTTTTTTTTCTCTCTTGCCTTATAGTGATCCTTTTTATGCCTTCAAGTGCTCAATTTAATGCCTACAAGTGTATATGTCTTACTATTGTGTAAAAAAAAAAAAAAAAAAAAAATACTTAGCGTTCAAGATTTTAATTGAACCTTTTTTTTTATTATTTTATTTCTAGTGCATATTTTTAGTCTTCAAGTACATAATTCTGGATAGTATTTGCCTGTTTGTTCATGTTCAATTCATTAATAGTCTTACTTCTCCCTATCAATTAAAGCCTATTACAACATGTCTAGGTATGGTTTGTGAGTGAGAAGTCCCCATGGCATATTTTGTGTGTTTGAGAACATCTTGTGAGAATTTGTTACTATTGTTGTGGTATGATATATGAGAACAAGTGGACCTATTGTGAGACATATATACATGCAAAAAGCTTTTGAATGTAATTTCAAATCATGTCAATCTTTGAGTGGAGCATATAATTGTATTTTATTTTTTTAAGGGGCAAATAAATGTTTAAGTGTGGAGTGTACAAGTGTTTAATTGCACTTGTTTTAATACTATATCTATAATAAATTTTCTTGTATCTTTTTTAGTTTGAAAATATTGTATTTAATTCATTAATATTTGATTTTAAAGAATTTCTAAATAGAAACGACAAAATATGCCGTTTGTACCATGCTGATACTATTGTTGTCATATCGCTTTCATAAAAACTCCAATTCAGCTTATTTAAGTGTACATGAAAAAAAAAAAAAAAAAAAGACAAAACTCTAAAACTTTTATATTTAGGGTTTTCATAGATTCAAAGAATATTTAGGTCAAACTGCTAGGCAAATTTTGACATGCATAGAGACAACCTTACAACATTCTAATAGTAATTTAGCTAGCCACATCTCTTTCATACAAAGTTTCATAGAGGTAATTCAAGTGTCTATGAAAAGATATGACAATCTCCTACAACTTTGGCATTCAAAGTTTTCAAAGATTCAAACTAAAAGAAGAAAAAAAAAAATCTAGGCAGATTTACCTAGGGAAATGGCCATGTTGTGGCTATATCACTTAGGCGATGTTACCTTAACATGCATGGAGCATAAAAATTGGTAGTTTTTGACACGCCATCCAACATGACCATGTTAAGGGTGTGCTAGTCGTCACAAAGTCCTATGTAACTGGTGTTTTAACCATTTTGGAGTTCTTTTCAACCCAAGATCTAAGAGATATCCAAGACACTTTTAGGAATTTCAATTATGCTTTGAGCGACAACTTAAATATTAAAGAATTGAAGGTTAGAATCAAAATTTCTTTGTTGATTAAATGGGTCTTTCTACGTTCTTAAATTTCTTTATCGTTTATTTGATTTCTTTTATATTTGCCTCCATGATTAGAGGCTAAGCTCTTAGTGCTTAAATTTATAATGAACACTAGGATGAGGCATCCTTCTTAATTGTTTATTGACCCAATATATTGTTTATCCTTTTGGTCCAATTGTATTTTTCATTATCCTTAGATTAATAATTATTAGCTTATTAAAATCATGTTTGATTCATGTATTTGTGATAGAGATATCATTTTAAATTTTATGACTAGATCATCACCACACAATTGGGAGGAGTGGCATGAAACTCAAAAGATAAAATGACATCAATCTTTTGTTTTGAGTTAAATCATTCAGTAGAACTCATAAATTTTTAAGGTTTTAATGTTGAATGAGATTCTTATTAATCAACACAGAAATTACTTATTAATATTCTTGAGAAAAGATATTAGAATAAATTATGAGATCTCGTAATCTCATGAATATGAAATTGCTTTGGACATTTATTTATTGTGTTCAATGAGATTTTTTTTTTTTTTTGAAAGGAGCCAGGGTGGCATTTTATTCAAAGTAATGCGA